TCCCGAATATTTAGACCCTTTGAAGTTGAATAAAAAACACTTTTATGGCCCATATGGTACCTTTAAAGGGGTAAAATAACAAATTATTATGACCTTCCCGTAATTTGATTGGCTGAGACCATGAACTTTGACCTTTCCGGGACGTTTTGCATCTATTGTATTCATAATGTTTCATTCATAAGTTTAGAAAACTACCAATCGCATGAAAACGAGAAAAAAACGTTTACCAAATGAAGCCTGTATTTTAAAATTAAATGATACAAAAGAGTTTTACAGTTGTAAACGTGGAAAACTTTACACATTTCGCTATTCCGAGAAGATGATCTTGAACTAGACACTGTGACATTTGAGAATGCATCGGATATGAGGGAAGAAGGAAATTGACGATTACTAGAATCTGTTCAAAAATGAAAACGAGAACCCGGCCAAGAAAACCAAATATGATGTGAAAACGGCCAGACATTACATGTACATTGTTTGAATAAACCAGATCTATTAAAACTATACCCCCAGTAGACCTGAACAAGTCTGTCACAACATTTCATGCACGCAAAGAAACCAAGCGGGGATGAACATGAACCCTCCACTTTGAGGGGATTTCGGCCGAGTATCGATCGCTATTTGAGACGACTTGACAATCCAAAATCAACCCTACTTGATGCAGAATTTGCAAAACCACGTGAGGTGTTTATGGCAAAATTATTAAAAAATGTGAAGGTAAAGGAATCTTACCGAAAGCTGTTTTAGCAATGACGCAAACTGAAAACAAACTAACTTTGGGAAACTGGTCGACTTGATGCGGGTACCCATGACTCCATGCTTAACACTTTTCGGTCTTCGTTCTGTCCGCCATGCCGAAGACCCGGGTTTGATTCCCCACATGGAATCTGGAATGTTGCTGGAATGTTGCTGGAATGTTGCTGAAATGTTGCTGGAATGTTGCTAACAGAGGCGTGATACAATACTCACTCACTAACTGTCCGTCAATATGAATATGAGAGAGACTTAAACACGAACAGGTTTTTGCAATCCAACTGATGTTCGAAAAATTGCTCTTCGCGCATGGTCTGCGCCCAATGACCCCGATCGATGTCGCATTGCGATCTACAAAACGTACAACATCTTGTGAGGACATCCCATTATAGGTCACGTCAGAACGACCTTTCGCGAACTTTGACCAGGGTATTTTTTTCTGCGCGCCAGGATTTTCTCAAATGGTTTACACGGTCGACATTCCATTCACCGATCACTTGTGTTACTACGCATATCACTTCTTGTGTACGGAACGCAGACGTGGTGTTTTGGGGAGTTATTACAAATTTAGTGGTGGGTAATTAATAGGATATAAAACTCGTCCCATAAGTCCTTTAAACGTGGCTTTGTTTTATCTGTTAGTTTGTTTCTAAACGTTCCTCCTTCTCGGCCATCTGCTGAGTACTGTTGATGATACAGGATTAATGTTGACAATCGGTTGATCAGCTGAGTGAAAATGGCGGCTGTCCTTGTTTCGAAACGAGTATACCTACGCACTATCAACCGTCGTAATAGTTTGTTTGTTGTTTAACGCTGCAGTCAGCAATAGTCCAGCTATATGACGGCAGTCTGGAAATAATCGGGTCTGGACCAGACAATCCAACGATTGATATCATGAGCATCAATCCACGCAAATGGGATACGATGACATGCATCAACCAAGTCAGCGAGCCTGACCACCCGATCCCATTAATCGCCTCCTACGACAAGCAAAGCCGCCTTTTACTGCAAGCATGGGTTGCTGAAGACCTATTCTTCCCGATCTTCACGGGTCCGTCGTAATAGTAATAGTAATTTGGTGTGCTTTTGAAGGATATGAAATAATGTTCCAACACATTCGAAATACGTTTTTCTTCATAATAGGTGTAAGATTTATTTTATTGTGGGTCTTCAAGTTTGAAACTGTTTACAATATAGTGTGCGAATTCTCATTAACGTATGGACGTGGCGTGGTCATAAAAGGATTTCGGCTCGACTAGTCAAAAGTCGAAAAATCACGCAACAACAGCCTGAATTGTTAATACATGAGACGATTATCAAATATGCCATTTATCTCATCTAGTTGGGTGGTTAGAATCGACGTCCGTCCTTAAATATCCTCTATATATTCTGAAAATGCCTGCCTACTATGAATAACTAATGCAGTATCCTTTCTTCCTACAAAATGTCATTTTAATGGTCACCCCAACCTAATCAATTATTTAATATAACGACCAGTGATAAGGAACATAAGGCAATGCTTTACTTTATTGTGTGGATATATTTATAACTGTAAAATCATTGGAAGAATAAACATAGCATTGATCTGCAGTTCCTACTCATAGTGTCAATGTTCAACCAAGAACAGGCTTCACCAAACAGGCATAACAAAGGACATCTTTTTCTTGAAACTAATATTCAATAATGAACTTCAAGGAAGTTATCATCTATATAGGAGTTGAGTGTTAGCTGTGCTATTCAAATAACGTGGCATTGATATATGGATTCATCTCGTGAGAATATGTATCAATGTTTATCCAGTCATATTTGCTAAGTAGACAAAGATTATTCTCCATGGAAGCCTAATGGTATTATTAAAGGTATTATCAATACGGTTGCTATCATAAGCATCACTTCTGAGTTGTAACATTTTGCATTTTGTTAGCTATTCGTGGATCTGTACACTGATTGCTTTTGTTGTCATTAATGGGTGTTGGCAAGTTTGTGTTTTATATACACTGAAACCTCGCTGGTCCGGATCCTGTTAATCTGGAAACCCAAACCATCAGGATTATGACTGACAGTAACATTTGTTATACAGGATAATTCTCACTGGGACTACTGTCGTCTAGATTAAAGAGGTATCGCTCTGCCAATGGTTATATTTTCACGACTGCTATGTAACAGTTTTAGCTGTTGGGCCAAACCATACGTTAAACAACCTCCAATATACATCTGGACTTATGTCAAAAATGGGGGTAATTATATGTTTTGACAAAACCAAAATTGAACCAGAAATACAAGTCCTTGTTTTGTCATCTGAGGTACAGTAACAGTATCGGTCGATTCCGTGGCATTCTTTGGTGACCTTGTGCAAGCAACTTAAACCCAATCTTTATCGCGACATGAGTTAGGCATAGTCAGGCAATTGGAGTGAGATCATTATACTTTACAACAGCAAGCTTCAGCTAATGTGCGTCATTTCTCTGACATCAGACATTATATTATAAAAAACATTTATACAATATGCTAGACGCCACACCTGCTCACAACGAATTTATTGGAATTCGAACTGATTTTGCATTTGAATGACGCAAATCGTTCCTAATGTGTATCGTGCACCGATGGTATTGACAGGGATCCATTTCGAGAAAACATCTAACATGCATTCTCTATTAGTGCCAATTTAGTTTTGTAAGTTTTTGTGCCACATCTGGTGTCATTTTCGTGAGGTCATAGTATTAATCTGTTGCCAAAAGCGAGGTTTCGTTTTTCCTTTTTCGCTTTTTATTTGAATTTTTATACTTATAAAGGTAAATACTGGTTGAGGGTATCTATTATATTAAATAACCAACTGGTTTCACAACTGTTGTTCATGGGTCTTTGTTTTTATCTTGCAGTGTTCTAAATGGGGCTCAAGTTCAATTTGTTTGTAGAATTGAACAATCGATTTAATTACCTTAAACAGTGGGGGAAACACAATCTTACATGTGACAACTAAAGCTGATACGCCTTAGTGACACAGAAGTCTACGTACAAAACAAACGGTCCAAAGCTATGGAATCGCGTATGTTTCTCTTAATTATATTCTAAAAAATGGATACAGTTTTTTCATTATTTTTGTGTGTGTTAATATTTGCTATATATTTAGTGTTAGTGAGTATGGTTTTACGCCGCTTTTAGCAATATTCCAGCAATATCACGGCGGGGGACACCAGAAATGGGCTTCATACATTTTACCCATGTCGGGAATCGAACCCGTGTCTTCAGCGTGACGAGCGAACACCTTAACCACTACGCTACCCGACCGCCCCTTGCTATTTAGAAAGAAATCTTATGCTGGGAGCAGTAATTTTATTTATTTTACGCTTTAAAAACTCGACCCTTTTTCGGACACTTTCAGGACGCTCACCAATTAATACGTACAAAACGACGTTTTCGTGCTTGCAGTGTCACATTGGTATTCATGCCACAATAAATGTATTTTAAGATGTTCAACCCTGCTCGATACATATTATTTTGTTGCCCCTCGCTACCTGCACGCGATGAAATGATAAAAATAAATGTTTGTATCCTTCTATTCTTTCTGTACTTGGTAGACTACAACATATACGTTATCATATCATACCCGTAGCTCCGATCTGTCGACGTGTGCCTTGGACAGCTAGCTGAAAGCATTATAACAAAGCATTAAACGCTTGCCGCCTAAAGTTGTTTTCATTATATTGATGAAAATGTAATAATCAATCCACTGTCGACTCATTACGTGTACTATGTATTCATATGTGACACATGTGTGTAAATATCAAACACATCATACTCAAATAACCTTACATCATTTTGTATCTTAATTAAGTACGTTACGGACGGTGGGGTAGCCTAGTGGTGAAAGCTTTGGCTTGTTTTGCCGGACATCAGGGGTCGATTCCCCACATGGGTACAATATGTGAAGCTCATTTCTGGTCATATATCTTGGAATATTGTTAAAAGCGGCGTAAAACCTTCACATGCTTGATTTTCAATCTTAAAATATAGTGGACATGGTTTCATTTTATTGACGTAGTACCAATCAATGGCTATGGTGTACATGTATATAACGCAGTAAAGATGAATCCAGAAACCATCGCTAAAAGTGGCGCAAAACACTAGTTACTCACGTATCAAAGAATATCCCAACAATCCCAATTCCGTTTTCATGTATATCGACTTTGTTCATTTGACAGAGGTTCGGGTAGAAATAACGCTGAGATTTTTGGTTTCGCTTCCAGGTCTGCACAGAGCCAGAGTAAACTCCGACAATGTCATCAACTCCTTGTCACAGTGGCCTTCGTCGCCACTCGAACACTTCAAGAGTCTTGACATTTTCCACAAACACGTCAATGCATTCAGAGAAAGAATAGACGCGGGCAACGTCACCGTGACTGATTCCATCGACTTCTACACTTGGGTGAATGCTGTCATGATCAGCTGGGCTGGGCGAAGCGTGCAGAAATCCATTACCGGCGACCTGTGGAGAACGCTTGTTTCATATCATATGTTACTGCTAAGTAAAGACGAAGCGGGCATCGAACGGGCATTGGGATCAACATTTTTCGCCAAAGGTGAGATGTGAGAAATGCAAAATTTATGTTCAGTATACATTACATCAAACTTTTTCTATATCCTTTACACGTGTCAAGGGTTAAACGAAAGGCAGGATTCAACCACATGGCCGTAAAATAAAACCGGCAAAGAAAATTCCTTAATCATAAGAAATCTCTAAAAAGCGGAGTTCATTATGGAAATACCAGTTCAGTGTAATAATACAAGGTGATTTCCAACTTGAACGCAAACGTTATCCTAGACACTAGTAGGTACTGTTACAGAACAAATTTGTAAAATAGTAAGTTTGTTTGTTTGTTGTTGCCGCGCCCAGCAATATTCTAGCTATATGACGGCGGTCTGTAAGTAATCGAGACAATCCAATGATTGACATCATGAGCATCGATCCACGCAATTGGGATACGATTACATGCATCAACCAAGTCAGCGAACCTGACCACCCGATCCCGTTAGTCTACTCTAACGACAAGCATAGTCGCCTTTTTATGGCAAGCATGGGGTACTGAAGACCTATTCTACCCCGGATTTTCACATCAGTGAATTGCAGTGAATCACACTAGCAAGAATATATTGAAACACACAGTTTTAGGTTTACACTCAAATATGTAACTCAATGGGTCAAATACGGGGCAATAGAAACAAGCAGCAGACCCTGGACCTAAAGCTAATGCACTCACGGATGTCCAACATTTTGTTAATGTTGAATATCTTGAACATCAGTTCTTGAAACTGACTTGAACTCGGTGTTTACAGACAGGTATCCAGTCAACACTTGACAAGTTGATGAGACAGGTCGACAAAGGCCTCAAACCGCCCTCTTTTCGCTCTTGTATATGTGCGGTTGGCCTTCTAGAAACTCCCCCATCCCGAAACTTCTCGAACGATCAATTGTGCCGTGCTTATTTACAACAACCAGCGGCACATACATCTTGCCACAACCGCGCTCGGTGTTTTCAGACATAAAAAAAACAAATATAAATTGCAACATTTTCTGCTCACACGTAACATAATGACGATTTAACCTTATCATGTGGAGCAGTGAAACAACGGTAGAGGTACCCTTTAGCTCTTCCTTTGAGGGCCAGGATACACCATTGTTTGTTGATATGTACCGTCCTGGTATATGTGTCATTGTGTGAGTGAGTGAGAGAGTTTGGTCGAACGCCGTTATGAAGAGATATCCAGCTGTTTCACAGCGTGCAAGTTTAAGGGGAAGTCAATAGAGAAGCAGATCGGAAATGTTGACCACTTTATTCATGCTTACACGAATCATATCGGGGTACATCTGTATTCCAAACCCACGTGTTCCCATTATGTACCCAGAGATGAGCAATGGACGACATGTCTGAACATTCAGGTCAACGAGGTTAGCATAACTGATACTACTGTTTAATGTGAAATTTAAACGATATTCGGCTTTTCCACTGGACGAGAGGCCGGTCAAATGAGCACGAAATTGACGACACAATTCGACGTACATACGTTTTACACGAGACCGTGTTCTTGAAATGACGGGCTGTTTACACATTCCTGGGGATTCCGTAGCACGAGTACACACAGAAGCGGTGTTTCTGATTATTTAGACCCTTTAGTCTTGACATTCACACAGTTTGGCCCTCACTCTATAAAGGTTTATACTCCAATGAACTCGCACAAAGTGAAAGTCAGTTCTTAATTGACTTTGATAAAGCTATAGTGTTGTGTGATAAGTTGTTTGTCCCTCTGTAAGACCAGGTCCGGGGTTCGATCCCCGGTCGCGTCATACCAAAAGACATTAAAAGATTGCACTTGTTGTTACCATGCCTGGCGCTCGACATTAAGGAACTGAAACAAGGACTGGTCGGCTCGGAGTCAGTATACTGTGTCTGAGTGGGGTATTCATGTTAAACTGCGGCATGGTATCTCTGTGGGCTTGCACTATAAACTCGGCATTAGTCTGTACCAGTACAATAAGCCAGCCAGCAAGGCAGCCACGCACGCACGCACACTCACACACTCGCGCGCACATACACACACACATGCACGCACGTCGCGACATGAGTGCAATAATCTTGGACGCAAACAACAAATATCTGCTTTATGTAGTCAACTTGACAATGATAGTAAAGAACACACATGACGTTAGTGTCAGGAGTTTATTACCTCAGTACAATGTGTGCAAATAGGATTCTGGTACGCCAAGGGACGTATCTCTTGTGTGAATTTCGGCGCCTCGGACGACTGGGCTATCGGCGATCCACATTTTAACAGATCAAGCTAAACTTATAAACCTGAATGTATTCATAATGTATTCTATGATCATTGTCACCTTTGTCAAGGATGCATGGAATGGCTGAATAATGTTGTGTTGATCAACGTTGGTGTGTATGAATCAGACATATGGAAGTCAACTTCAATTTTCGCCAAACACGTGTTTGTCATCAGGCCTCTGGGATAGTAGCTTGATAGTGAACGCATTATGAAACCATCTTCCCGAGGCAAGGGAGTTAACTGACTATAAAAGTCCAGTTTCCACCCTTGCCGAACTAGGCTGCAATTGTGAAGTTATATTTTGGCTGGAGTAACGAGTCTATGCATAGTCCAATCAAAATCGCGTAACGAAACCGACATCCTGCTCGTTAATTACCGTGGAGATTTCGACTGATTACAGGATTTGTAAAGCATGTGAAGCGACATCTTAGTGTCAAGGGATATTTTAGAAATCTTTTCATGTTATTAATCAAGGTGCTCACGTGATTTGATTCACTTCGCAAAGTAAGATCCGTTTTATTATGAGATCTTGATTATCGATAAGGTCGTATTCACTGGGCTACGCCATTTCATTTAAATCAAAAGCGAGTGATATGACAGATGGAATCTGATTGGTCAGTAGGAGGGACATAGAAGGGACTGGTGGCGCTACGATAGAGCCCAGAAATTCCGGCCTAGTTCGACAAGGGTGGAAAATGAACTTTTATGGTCAGTTAACTCCCTTGCCTCGATAAGATGTGTGAAACAGACGTCCTGTTATTCATTCAACTCTTTGCAAACTCTTTGAGCTAAGAATTCCCGTTGTTCTGAGACAAACAATACCTGGCTATCTTAGATGTTCAGCTCTTCTGTCGATGTAAAGTAGAGTGACGTAAAACATGTACGGTGCTCTCAGGTTCTTCGTGGGAACTGTGCGAGAGAGAATTTGAGAGCAACTGTATGAATGCAATTCCGATAAAGACATGACATAAACTCAGTGAAGATCAAACTGGGTAATCGCATGAACTAAGTGACGATCATTGTAAGCCTGCTCGAGAGTGAGTGAGAATGGTTTTACGCCGCTGTAGCAGTATTCCGGACAGATCAAGGCGCGGGGCGCCAGACTTCATCTACCAATGCGGGGAATCACACCTTATCCTCTTGATGACGAGCGAACAATTAATCACAGGGCCCATCGCCTTCATCGTAAACACCCTATGAAGATCATAGTTTCCCGTCACGTGAACTCAATGAATATCATAGTAGCGCATCACCTGAGCACAGTGAAGATCGTATAGTAGCGCATCATGTGATCTCAGTGAAGATCGTACAGTAGCGCATCACGTGATCTCAGTGAAGATCAAATCGTAGAGCATCCCAGGAACTCAGTGAAGATGATAATAGCCCGTTACTTGAATACAGTAAAGATGAATTAACTCCAATCGAGGGGACGTCCTCGTTGAATGACATGTGGAATTTGGGTATAAGACATTTAAACTAAGAAGTCATCCTTCATAAGCACCAATTGTTGCACTCCTTCTTGCTAATCTGTCTCTTTATGAATATGAATTGGAATTTTCGCTCGGATTTGCAAAACCAAAACAATGGAAATTGGCAAAGAAGTATAGCTAATATGATATTGTTCAAAATAAGATATATACCTGATAAATCACGAAGAGAAATAAGCGTGGTTTATTTCACGATAAAACATTGTTCTATCATAACGTCACATCTGGAGATTCGAACATGTCCTCGCATCTTTGATGACGTCGTAAATTGGACGACGTTATATTTGAAAGGGAAGTGTCTGGTGAGTTTCCCGTAGATGTAGCTGGGATACGCAGATAAACGCAGTGGCCCAACGATCGCACCCAAAAGAGGGAGAGATATATCAATCAGTATTGGGAGAAAAAGTACAGATAATCGACGTCAGGAGTGTGAGAATATGCGGGAAATACCAAACTTAACCCACCTGTTCATAAAATGGACTTGTCCGACATTGTCGAGGTCGGATTCTATTCAGGGAGTCCTTATTACTAAAATTAAGGTAAATATTTAAAGCTTGCACATTTCATGAACATCCTCAAAGAGGATGAACCTAATGTTGATATCTCATATAAGAAATAAATGGCTCGTGGTCGTTGTTTATCGAACAATAAACACTGGAGGGAGCATAAACCACTTGGGGCTCATGGTTTATACACCCTGCAGTGTTTTATTGTACAATAATCCACTCCCACTCGTTTATTTCTTAAAAAATGGCCAAATAGCCAATTCCCTGTCGATGATCTACCCATCTGGGACAAGTATAACGTACTCATCTGTTTCACGTCTAGATCCATCGATGAAGATTCAGAGTGACAAAAACTTTCCACAAGACTGTATGACAAGAGGAACGACCTCATCTTTCCAATAGTAAACTTTCCTTAAAGTCGAGTAATATTCCAGCAGCTCCAGCCTTTGGTGGATACATTTCATAACTTCTGAGGCACAATAAAGCATGCCCTTTCGACACAGATTTTAAAGAGCGTCGTGCGAATCTTGATCCAAAGTTGTTGATCAGGAGTACGATTTTCAAGGTAGCAGTAAAACATTCCAAAAGTCTAATATTGGCGATGAGGAGGGTATATTAAAATTTGACGCATCAGTGACAAGAATGTTGATGCAATTCCTTATTTGGACTTGTAACATTGTTCCCATTGATTTTTCAGGCGAACAATTGACTTCCCTTTGCATGTGTTTGTGACTGGTGCCGCCGTTGGGGCAGATTACTATCACCTGGAATCCCCACTATTTGATAGTGATTCATAAAGTACATATAACACAATGGACAATTTAAGTAGAGATTTCCTATGATTATAGAAATGATGTTGTCGCTTGTATTTATTCACACGTGCAAAGTATCTCACGTCCATCAAAATGACACCCTGGTAAAATAAAATCAACTTAACAAAAATACATAATAACAACACCAGGTGTCATTTCAGTAAAGTTAAGTTATAGTTTCGTTAAATTCAGTTGTTATGTTAAGTTAGTTCGGTTCACCAACCTACCATGTTTAAGGACTACTATGCATTTATTCGTTGTTGGTCCAATGTGGTGTTTAGCTTTAGTCAAATACAGTCCAGCTACATAACATATACATGTTTCAGATTTAATAGGCCTTGGCAAATTGGCAGTCCTGATAAATTTGATTTAAGTCATTCAAAACCCACTCATCTTGTTTGTCAGTTGACTGAAATTATATAACGGAAAACAGTTAACCTCATTACACTGAGATTTTTCTCAAATTCACATTTGTGAAGCATCAGTTACAACGCCAAGGCTTACGCCGGAAATACTCTTCAAACCGTTAATATTATGAATAAGTTTGATTAAAAAATGTGCATTGTTTTCCATTTCAGGTGGTTTCAGACAGGTTGAACTTCTTGGTTATATGTCAAGAAAAACGCTTGGCGTCTCCTATCTTACACTTTGCTCAGAGTATGACAGTCTTCCCAAAGATGTTCTTGCTAAGAATTATTCAGATAGTGACGTGGCAAAGATTGTTACGGAAAACCGAGAGAGAATTGCCCTGAACAACGAAAGCTTCGCATCAGTTGAAGAGGGTTCGTGGTGGTTTGGAAATATGACATCATACATCGATGTTCTGAAGACGATCCAAGACTCTTTGGCATCGAAGATTATTTTTCTTCTTGAACAGCAAATAAACGAATTACATGAAGCTTTAACGGGAATGATTCTCGTGATGGTGTTTGCCATTTTGTTGACTCCATTCGTTGTTTTCTGCATATATCGACTCACATGTCGCATACAAGACTATGCCACAACGCTCCGCGAGAAAACACGAGACTTGGACAAAGAGCGCAGGCGCAGTCAGACTCTCCTGTATGAACTACTTCCGGTGACGGTTGCAAAGAAAATGATAAACCATGAACCTATTGAACCGGAGTCGTACGGTAATGTGACGATCTATTTCTCGGATATTGTTGGATTCACGGTGATATCGTCCAAGAGCAGTCCTATGCAGGTGGTAGACCTGCTGAACATGTTATACCAAGCCTTTGACAAGCAGCTTGAGTTGTATGACGTCTACAAGGTGGAAACAATAGGTATGAGTGTTGGAATGGTTAAACCCTTCGGTTGCTAAATTATCAGTGCACTAAGCACCATTTGAGTGAGAATGGTTTAACGCCGCTTTTAGCAATATTCCAGCAATAACACGACGGGGGACACTGGAAAATGAGCTTTTCACACACTGTACCCATGTGGGGAATCGAACCCGGGTCTTTGGCGTCAGGAGCCAACGCTTTAACCACTAGGCTACCCCACCGCCCACTTAGACCCAAAGGGATACCGGCTGCACAGTGGTTGCTTCCTTTATGATCCGCTGCTCGTGGGTACAAATCACTGTTTCATCCCGATTATAAAACATGGGACGTCCAGAACTTTACCCCTACTTTTTTATATGTTTATTGGCTTAATCTGTGCCACTTTGTTATTTCCAACCATGTTATGCTGACACGACTTGATAAAACTCCAATTTACAGTTCAAAGCGGTTCAACTCAATCACTCACTCACATACTCACTAAATCGAGAGTTATTCCAAAATTAATTCAGTAGTTAATACCCTCTTCATGTTATTCTATGTTGTAGTATAATTGCCAACCTCATCGGGAAAGCAATTATCATCTGATTCATGGTCAGGGAGAGTGAGCGATTGAGAAAGTTGGGTTATATACCAGAAATATATATCATAGAAAAGCTATCCGCTGTTTATATAGTGAGTATGGTTTTACGCTGCTTTTAGCACTATTCCAGCAATATTACGGCGGAGGACACCAGAAACTTTGCTTTACACATTGGGGAATCGAGGAGGCAGAGAGAGTATCATATTGTCAAATGGTCAAATGGTCAAATGGTTATCATAGTTCTTATGTTCTTTCAATAATGGCACGCGAGACGTAGTTGGTTACTAATATCTATAAATATACACAATATTTCGAACATTCTGTATTTCAGGAGATGCGTATATGGTGGTTTCCGGACTTCCTATGAGAAACGGGGACAGACATGCTGCAGAAGTAGCCTGCCTCGCTTTGGATTTACTTGACACCATATCGAGGCTCAGCATCCCACATCTTCCAGAGGAAACATTACGACTTCGGATAGGTTTGAATTCTGGTAATAAGAATCGCATTTATCTTCTCCATTTATTAATTATTGTTTCTCTTGTTGGGAGTCGCGAACCTGGCGCCACTGAGTTTGCAAATGGTAATGCTTTCAATATGTCATATTCACTTACGCCAGTGTCTAGGTAACAGGTATTTCTAACCTATCGCTAAATGTATGAATTCCACGATGCGAGTGTTAATTTCGAGATTCTCCCACACTATAAAGTTAACACAATGAATGGTGATCATGCCCTACACTCATGGGTTGTGTTTATTTGTTGCCTGACGCCGCCCAGGCGTACACCTGCCTTGCGACAGTGGCCTTTAAACAAACCAGACAACCACGTGATGAATCCAAAACTTCAGTGACGTGATGGCGCATTTACTGATTTTGTTGAAACTGAAAACGATATGTTATTTTTGAATCGCACCTGCTGTGGAAACATTCTTCCTTTTACATTCAGGATGCCTGCGTTGCAAGCCACGAATCGCTTAGAATGAGCTATTTAATCGATCATACCGGGTCTGCAACATCTCCAAACGCTTGCGCACTCTTCCAAAATGGCCGCGCCACTACCACGTGGTTGCCTTGTCCAAATGAAGGACGTAATAGCAGGGGCTCGATGACGAGCCGAAGAATTTGAATTCATATGACATTTGTTGACTACTCTAAAGATGTGGATCCAGTCAAGAAGTTCTTGTTCCGCTGTCAAACTAAAATTTTCGTCAGCCGCCATTTTGCTTTGAGAACGAAGCAACCTCAGCCAGCGATTGGTGCGATGGCACACGGCTGAAAGTTAGCGCCCCCTTGTCAGGCGAATTGCTGTACATAGCTTGCAAGCGATTGGTGCGATGGCACACGGCTGAAAGTTAGCGCCCCCTTGTCAGGCGAATTGCTGTACATAGCTTGCAAGCGATTGGTGCGATGGCACACGGCTGAAAGTTAGCGCCCCCTTGTCAGGCGAATTGCTGTACATAGCTTGCAAGCGATTGGTGCGATTGCACACGGCTGAAAGTTAGCGCCCCCTTGTCAGGCGAATTGCTGTACATAGCTTGCAAGCGATTGGTGCGATGGCACACGGCTGAAAGTTAGCGCCCCCTTGTCAGGCGAATTGCTGTACATAGCTTGCAAGCGATTGGTGCGATTGCACACGGCTGAAAGTTAGCGCCCCCTTGTCAGGCGAATTGCTGTACATAGCTTGCAAGCGATTGGTGCGATTGCACACGGCTGAAAGTTAGCGCCCCCTTGTCAGGCGAATTGCTGTACATAGCTTGCAAGCGATTGGTGCGATGGCACACGGCTGAAAGTTAGCGCCCCCTTGTCAGGCGAATTGCTGTACATAGCTTGCAAGCGATTGGTGCGATTGCACACGGCTGAAAGTTAGCGCCCCCTTGTCAGGCGAATTGCTGTACATAGCTTGCAAGCGATTGGTGCGATTGCACACGGCTGAAAGCTAGCGCCCCCTTGTCAGGCGAATTGCTGTACATAGCTTGCAAGCGATTGGCTTTTCGCAACATACCCACAGTGATAATACTTAAAAAGGTGCCTCTGGTATTAATACAAGGTAGATATGTTTTTTTATCAAGTTACGAATAATACGTATTTAATTATATTATGGAAAGTTATTTAAAATAAATCTACGTATTTGATTATGATAGCATTCTAAACTTTATCATGTATGATGTATATCTGCTTGGCACACACAGGACGGTCACGTGACTGTGAAACTGACATTCGGAAGCGTATGAACGATACATTTTCTTGAAATGTAAGCCAGGATATAGGTTTTTTTTTGTTTTGTTTTTTGTTTAACGCCTCTCTCAGCAATATTCCGGCTATATAACGGCGGTTCGTGAATAATCGAGTCTGGACCAGATAATCCAGTGATTGACATCATGAGCATCGATCCACGCAATTGGGATACGATGACATGCATCAACCAAGTCAGCGAGCCTGACCACCCGATCCCGTCAGTCGATTCTTACAAGTATAATCGCCTTTTACGGCAAGCATGGGTTGCAGAAGACATATTCTACCCCGGATCTTCACTGGTGAGCCAGGGTATCGATAAGACGTTAGTCCATCACTTTCGTCTCGAGTCGAAATTTCAGAGCAAACTGTGACATTTGGCCTCACCCCTACGACAGTAGTAGCAAGAGCAGGGCCGCGAGTTTGCAAAATCATAGCTCAGGTTCTCTTTGACAGTTAAAATGAGATTATCATGATGGATAACGAGGTCAGACAATCATTCGAAATTAAGGGCAGTTATCAAGGAAAAGCTTCGCGCAATCTCCGTTCAGGTGTGCTTCTGCTTCAGGGCGATGTGCAGACGGGCCTAGCACATCTTCCCGCATTCAGTGCACGCCTGCGTGGCAGAACTCTACCAAGTACGACGGATGACTGCGGCCGTAGAGACCTTTTGGGGTCCAAGATGATGACTTCTTTTGGGCAGGGATAAGCGAAGTTAAAGGATATTATATTGAAAGATAAGGTGCGAAGTAATTCTGAACGATTTTCATTGTGAGGCTACGGATGTCTCGATTTACTGACGGAGTTGGCGTTTTTGTGTGTATATAGTCACAGGGGTAAAGCGCTGTCCTTGCCAAACCAAATGTTGGTAGGTGGTGTCGTAACTGTGTTTTGGGGTTGACTGGCCCCTACTAAAGTAACCTAACGTATTGTCGTTCCGTGCCGTCATGGACAAGGTAAGCCATGACTCTCCGACATTCCTGGTCAGCCCATGGTCATTTAAGTCATTTTAAGTGCTTGAAGAATCGTCTCTTACTCCGAACTGTCTCCATCAGCATTCATGTGCCGGCCCTTGCTCCCATTGATTAACACGGTTTATACTCACATACTTTTAATAATGCTCCACGTCATCTTCAAAATACAACTTCTAAACAAGACTAGACTCGTCACAGATTTAGAAAAACGAACTGATGGCCATGTCCCAGTCAACAAGAAAGGCCGCACTTCTCAGTCAGGTGCTCAACGTATCTTTTTAGGGTAATTGAGTCTTGACCTTTCTTTGTCACATGTGATAATACCTCAATTTGATTCGTTAAAAGTTCGATCTGACCATGAACGTATGTGTATCGTAATCGGAAAAATAGCGAAGCCTACGTGCCCGATTGAGCATCTCTCTATTGATTTTCTATTGATTGCCGGATTCTACCTTTCTGCTGATTTATTAACTAATCGCCGATAATGTGGAACCAGTACGATAATAAATATGAAATGCCTGGAAACAATCCTATGATACATGTGAAATATCCTTTTTCTATCAATTCCCTTCTATCTCCCAGCTTCTGTCACGAACTTTATGCAACTACATCATTGAAGCTATCAAAGGTTTAATTTGTTACAATTTTGTTACAATGTTCTAATGTTTTTATATGGATTTTAACCTTATTACAGTAGCAACTATCATATTCTCGCTGGACAGTAAAAAATGTGATTTCAACCGGGCACAAGTAACATGGTTAAGGCAAGATTTTAGCCCTTTTACCTAATAATTTGAACTAAATCTAACTTACATCATACACCAAAGGCTTCCGGGCCACAATCGTTACAGCATTTATATACAGCACTCAATAATAATTTCAATATTTCTTTTGGTATTATCGATAGCGACGAGTCGAAAACAAAGTGCTTTTTTTTCCAGGGTAAAAACAACATAACCACTTCATACCAGCGCATTTTTGTGTCAATTTTAACTTTATTGTATCAATGTATCGCCTTTCTGTGATGTATATATTTAGCAAAACCAAAAACGTACGAATTGATGGTAGTTGGTTCAACACTTTCTCCGTTGTTGATTTTTTAATATACTGAACCGCAAAAGAAACGACACCATGAATAGATATATGAGAAACCTTATTGGTCCAAACACTGTTAACATACTTTGAGACATATTAAAAAGATGAAACTTGGCAAAACAGATCATCAAGGTTGAAATTAAAGTGTCAAATGTTCTTAAAGTGAAACACAACACTAGTCTCTGAGAAAATGGCATCACAAGTCAGTATCTTGTGTGTCCGCCATGTGCATTGATGACTGCCTTGCAAAGTCGATACATGGAATAGATGAGGCCGTTGATGAAGACCATAGGCACTTGAGCCCACACTCTGAGGAACGCCTGTTGCAGTTCAGCTGTAGTTGTCGGCCTTGGTCGGACGTCATTCAGCCGTCTTTGAATCTCGTCCCACAGATGCTCAGAGGGATTTAAATCGGGACTGAGGGCCGGCCACTGCGTGGTTCTGATGCCATTCTGCTGGAGGAAGTCTCTTGTTGCTCTCGCACTGTGGGCACGGGCGTTATCATGCTGAAACTCGTGGTTGCGGCGACGTTCCAAATTAGGTATGGCGTGTGGTATCAAGACTTGATCAATGTACCGAGCTGCTGTGACACCATTGCCTCTCCCAGGACCAATTCCACCCCACACCATGATGCTCGGACCACCCCACGACTCTCTCTCAACAACACAAACATCCGAATAACGTTCCCCACGGCCTCGCCAGACTCTGCCATCTGCTGTTGAGATACAGTAACGGTTCTCGTCTGAGAAGAGGACACTTCTCCACTGCTGGTGGCACCATTGCTGGTGCTGTGTTGCCAACTGAAGACGGTCCCGGCGATGACGTGGTGTCAGAATGGGTCCTCGGTGTGGCCTGTGACAGTGGAGGTGTCTGCTCGCCAATCGTCGACGAACGGTGTCCGCACGGTCCCCATGGTCTGTCGAGCAGTTTCTGCAGCAGTAACAAAGCGATCTTGAAGATGCTGTCGCACAATCGGACGATCCTTACGTCGGGTCGTGACCCTTGGTCATCCACTACGTGGTCGGTCATATGTAGTGTTGGTAGTCTGGTACCGTTGCTGGAGCCTATATATGGTCCTTACATGGACTTGAAATGCATTTGCTACTTGCCGAGCGGTTTTGTCCAGCTTGCAGTCGTCCAGGGGCTTTTTGTCTCTGATTTCTTGTCAGTCTTGGCATGTGGTGGTAATTC